GCACATTATCATCTTTCTTTTATATAGAAATTATCATCCACCAATCCTTTTGTCCTGACACTCTCCAATAAAATGGAGTGGCGGAAAAAAAAATCGCCATCTTCTGCAAATCACTAGGATTATTCTTTTCTATATTTAAGTGCTAAAGTAGGGAGAAACAGTCTTAACTATCACATATCTAATTAATAGAATACTTTCAAGAGTGATTGACTTAAAAATTTCTTTAGATTATAAATCTAAATTCTTTCTCATAAATAACTCCTACAAAATTTCACCAAAAATCTTTAGGTGCATTGCTTATCTCCACATCTACAAACAACCCAAGGATACATTTAATTTTAGTGCCTTCAAATATGTTTTTATTAGGTATTCTTCCACTTAAAAATAACATAAGTGTTATCATTCTATAATAAAAAATGCCTTTTTTGAAAAGATACCATCTTTGATGAGGAGCGAAATTTTTTCAATCAAATTCATATTTAAGGGAAGACCTCTGTTAGACCGATCAATTTAATTGGGAGGGAATTAGGAAGTTTCCTAATCAAGAGGGAGTTGTTTAGACTTTTTGGGAATGGAGTATTGATGGACCGGCGGTTGAGCCGGTGGGCCCCACTAGGGTGGACGAAGGGTAAGAAGAGAGAGGTGGAATTGTTTATGAAAGTTTTAATTACAATTGAGAGGGAATTTATTAGGAAAAGAAATCTAATTTGAATTCAAATCTAAAAGAAAATTATTTAGGAAAAGTCATGGGAGTTAATATTCATTATGTAAGGAGGAATCAAGAAAAATTGTTTAGGAAAGTTTTAATTACAATTTGGAGAGAATTAATTAGGGAATGATATCTAATTTGAATTCAAATCTAAGAGGAAATTATTTAGGGAAATTTGGGAGGGAATTAAGGGAGCCTATTAAAGGCTAACTCTGGGGTGATTTCAGGTTATGTTTTGAGTTTGCTGAAATTAAAATTTCTTAGGTTGTGATGGCTCTAACCACTGGCTAGCGATTCGGGAGAGACGAATCTTTCTCTCCCATTGAAGATCCACTTGTATCTTGCTATTTCTTTCATATTTATTGCAATAAAAATAGTTTTGGTGTTTTCTTCCTAATTTTGGGACTATGTTGGCAAGGAAAGTTGATGCCTTTGGAAGAGTGTCTTAAAGGAAAAGTTGGCCAACGTAAATCGGCATTTGATGACAGAAATGTCATCAATGGAGGAAAAAATTTTCAACCTAGAAGGAATGATAAAGGTGTTGGATCTTCACGTCAAAGGACATTATTAGCATCAACGACGTTCAATTCCTATTGAGCAGAGCTGTCAACAAATCATGAATAAATTTGCTAGAGTGGCTGAATCTGATGCAAAATTTTGTTTAATAAATTATGCTTATATTGGGAAAATTTTCTAAGCCTCTATAGTTTCTCAATCTCAAGTGAACAAGAATTCAATGACCTCACCTATGGTGAATATGATTATTTTCAGCTCAATATTACCGGTTACATTGATAGATGACATGGATGTGATTTTGGAGATACTCCAAAGAGGGGAAAGGGTGAAAGAATGATATTTTTGGTGGAGTTATAGTTTGGAAGGCGAAGAAGATAGGGAGAAGATAGATGCACTATATATGGTTCAGCCACTCCTACATCAGTATCAAGTGTTGTTCCAGCCAGTTCATGGGTTGCCTCCTCGCAGGAACACGAGCATGTTATCATCTTGAATGAAGTAGTCTCACCTATTAGTGTTAGTCCGTATCGTTATCATCTAATTTTAGAGTCATTATTCAAGGAATTTGCAAGCTTTTTATCGATCAAAATTGTCTTTAAATGTTTAAAAATTAAATGAAAATGACCAATGAGGATATACTATGATAATAAATCTATCATTTGTATTGGTCATAATTCAATACAACACGATCGTACCAAGCATGTGGACGTAGATAGGCATTTAATGAAAGAGGAACTAGAAAGTGGGTAGATTTGTACTCTTTATGTTTCAATAGTAAATCAATTTGCTGACATTTTCATTAAATGACTCTGAACCTCATATTCAAAAATATTGTAACCAAACTTTGAACGGTATATTTAAACCATTCAGTTTGATGGAGAGTGTTGAAAGACCTTGGACTCCCAAGTCAACCAATCTTGTTAAGGATTCTTGAGCACACGAATTAATAGTACTAATGGTTGGATTGATCCTCTTATAATTTTTAAATAGCAATATGTGTACCTCCCCTTCCTCTTCTAGTTGCCGGTTCTTCTTGGGGACTTTTTTTTTATAATTAGTTTTGATTTATTTTCATTATAAGACTTTTGGAAAAGTCTATTTATACTTTCACACTTTGTATAGGTTCAAGTAATAAAATTAAAAACAGTTTTTTTTATTTCTACTTTTATATATAAACTTGAAATATGTTTCTAGGAACTAAAACTAATTATCTATTACGCATTAGTAATTATTCCATCAAGGCGAGGCAAGGGAAAATCATCTTCTTCTCTCCTTTTTGTAGTTGTCTCAACTTCTCTCATTGTGGATGGATTTCCTGCACGCGTTGTTATTGCCTTATAGTAGATGCCTTTCTTGTTTTGTCAGGTGGTGGAGTAAACGATGGTTGTGCTACTTTGCAACAAGAGTTTCGAAAGCAACCATCATGGCCGTTTATTTCTTTATTGTAAAATTGCTACAAATCAAAATTGACATGCATTCTATATTTGGAAATCAAATTTTTATGGGTCAATTAGGCAAATATTTTAAAGAGTCTCATGAATCATATGTGATCTAAATATTCCCTAGAAGCTCCTTAGGTGCAATGATATCACAATGGTGGTTTCCTGACCGTCACTTAGGTGTTATTTTAACCATGAAGGGAAACTTCTCGTATGAAAACATCATATTTCTTTTATCTCTCTTAATATCTCAGCAAAGCTCAAACTAGTTAATGTTTGATAGGTGCTTTGGTCTAAGGAAACTGTAAAGCAACTGGCAATGATTACAGGTCCATAAAAAGTCTGTTTGGTATTAAGATCATAATTTGATATGTTTTCTTCTTTTTCTGAAAGAGATGCTAGAGCTTACAATTAGGCTATGAATATGATTTTAAAATCAATCCTTCTTTGTCAATAATTTGTGTTACGTTGTGTTATACCCAAAATGAAAATATAATTTCAGAATTAACGCCAAATGGCTAAAATGAAAATGTGCCTTGGGAGTTGTGTTATAAGAAGATATCATGGAGGCTTAAAGGAATATTTTATAAGCTTACAATTAGGCTAGTGATGTATGAATCCAAATGTTGAGTTGTAAAAAAGTCAATGTTAATTAAGTTGGGCATTGTAGAAATGTTAATATCAAGATATAGTGCGATAAAATTAGAAGAAATAAATTATGAAATGAGTATATTAGAGAGAAGGTTGGAGTGTCTATTAAAGATAAATGTGACTAAAAATAGACTTAGCTAGTCTTGACAATATGCAAGGAAGCATATCAAATATGTCTGTTAAATTTGTTGCTAAAATTAATATAGGAGGATTAGGAAGAAAATCGGGTACACCTAAAGTTTACATGAATAGAGGTTGTTCAAAATATTTTGAGAAGAATGCGTACAATATCCTAGACATTACTGGACTTGAACGAATAGGGATTCATAATGTGATAGGAAGTGGATATAATTCCTCGAAATCAGCGAACGACAATTAGAAATTAGGAAGATGAACACATCAAAACTCTTTTTATTTCAAGATATATGAAAGAAAATAGTAAGATACAGTTAGATCTTCAATTGGAGAGGAAGATCCGGCTCTCCCAAATCCGTAGTCGGCGGCTAGAACCCTCACAACCTAAGAAATTCTAATTTCAGAAAACTCAAAACATAATCTTGAAATCACCCTATTGTTAGCCTTAAATAGGCTCCCCTAATGCCCTCCCAGTTTCTTTTTAGTACTCATGAAGAGTAGAAGGGGTCCATGCATGCATAGAGATTTACGTTGTATATCTTCGTTGCTGCTAAAAAAAAAAAAGGTATGTCATATATGTGAAAGTAACGTGGTAGCAGCACAATACCAAATGAAGCCCAAGACATGCAGTGACGAATTTATGTTACAATTATGATATAAACTTCGACTGAAGTACAACCTGTTTTTTTTTTTTTTTTTTTTTTTTTTTTTTTGTCTATTATCCAATTTGAAAAGGCTTGTATTTACTTGACATCAGCCATTTCCATCCTTTGAGTTTGAGTATTATTGTGATGTGATGTTCCTTGATTTACTGGTACAGGACTAAGATTGCTTATCATTCTTCCACTGTCCCTAAGTATGCTGCATTTTTACAAAACTTACCATCATCCAGTGATTGTATGGTATGCCAATAATTGAAAAATGTCAATATTAAAGATATTTGACCATAGTAACTATCCATTATTAGATCCAATTAGTAGATGTCATAGCAAGCATTATTCTTACAAGTGCATGCTTGAGGGATATTGTTAGTATTAGTGAGGTTGCTAGTTTATGAGTTGTAACTCAGGGAACCTTCTTCACTTCTGAGTTTGTCGTGCACAAGTTAATCCTTTCCAAGTATCATCTTGAACTTAGACAGATATATGTTTCCTGCTATAATCATGTTCTCTCCATTAACAGTTCAAATTGTTATGCTTAATAGATGAACTTATATTGTACTTTCTGCTATTTTCTCACTTGGTTCAAAGCAAATCAAAATCCACAGGACACTTGAAGTTATAAATTTTGAGATAAGATTCTAAAATTATTTAAAGTAGTTGGTTGGAAGGAATCCTACTATGAATTTCAAAGTAATGGACAGGTTGATTTTATTTTCACTCATTTCTGATATAGAAGTCAAGTTTCATTAAAAGCATTTCAAAATTTTTTCTATTTTTTCTCAATTATGATATTGATATGCTTCTCGTTCTGCTTTTGTAATTCTTCTATAATGAGGCTTTTACTTTTCTAAAATCAGTGTTCATGATATTTCATTAACACCATTACAGGAAAAGTGTACAGAGATATTGTTGGAAGCGCGTATTATGTTGCTCCTGAAGTTCTAAAACGTAGCTACGGGAAAGAAATAGATATCTGGAGTGCTGGCGTTATTTTGTACATTCTTCTCAGTGGTGTTCCTCCTTTCTGGGCAGGTCACATCTCATTGCTACTGGTTATCATATCATGCATGTGTTGTAGTATTATTTTCTACTAAAATTTCCCATTTTCAGAAACCGAAAAAGGAATATTTGATGCTATCTTGAAAGGTGATATTGACTTTGTCAGTGAACCCTGGCCTTCTATTTCTAGCAGTGCCAAGGATCTAGTTAGGAAGATGCTTACCCAGGATCCTAGAAAGAGAATTACCTCTGCTCAAGTTCTTGGTAAATTTGTTTACAGCATTCTATTTCTTACAGCAGCCTCAAAAAATGTGTTCCTTGACTGCTTGACTTGTTGTATTACAGAGCATCCTTGGATCAAAGGTGGAGAGGCATCTGATAAACCCATAGATAGTGCAGTTCTTTCTAGGATGAAGCAATTCCGGGCAATGAACAAACTAAAGAAATTGGCCTTGAAGGTTGGATATACAAATTTCGCATGGTTAATACCAGCTTCTCATAAAATTCTAATACATGAAAAAAACAAAAATGTAGGTTATTGCTGAGAGTCTATCTGAGGAAGAAATTAAGGGGCTGAAGCAAATGTTTTCGAATTTGGACACCGACAAAAGTGGCAGCATCACATATGAAGAACTGAAGACTGGTTTAGCACGGCTTGGTTCGAAGCTTTCTGAAGCTGAAGTAAAACAGCTTATGGATGCTGTAAGTTGATCTAGATGACATCGTTAGCCGTTATTGCTGTTTAGCAACAACATTTTTGAATACTTGAACATTTTAATCTCTTTCAGGCTGATGTGGATGGTAATGGAACCATCGACTACATTGAGTTTATCACCGCCACAATGCACAGGCACAAGCTGGAAAGGGATGAGAACTTATATAGTGCCTTTCAGTATTTTGATAAGGATGATAGCGGGTGAGTCTGTTGCTAATTATTAGTTCTTTTATTTGTGATAGTAAACTGCAGGGTTGGTTGGTGTCATACCTTGCCTATATAGTTATTTATGTATTGATGTCTTTTTTCTAACATATGCACATGTAAAATATGATATTTGGCATTCATACGCTATGGTGGGAATGGTTCTTATTATCAGTCAACAACGACAACAACAATATCAAGCCTTTGTCCCACTACGTGGGGTCAGTTACATGAATTTTTTTTCACCATTGTGTCAAGTTAAAAATTAAATTCTCATTTAAATCTAATAAAGAAAGATCATTTCTAATATTTTCTAACCAAGTCTTTTTAGGTCTATCTCTACCTTTCTTAACATAAGTCAAGTCTAACACCTCAACTTTCCTAACCGGGTCATCAGAAGTCCTCCGTTTAATGTGACCAAACCATCTAAAACGACTCTCTCTAATCTTATCTTTCACTGGAGCTACTCCAACATTTTCATGTATATGCTAATTTCATATCCTATCTCTAAGGGTAAAGCCACTCATCCACCTAAGCATACTCATCCCTGCAACACTTAACTTAGTATTATGCTTCTCTTTTATTATCAGTCATTGGGACAAAAACGGCATATTGCAGCCTGTAATCATTATTTGCCATTATCATCATTGTTGTAGTAATCATCATCATCATCATTAGCCTTATCCCAACTATTTTTAAAAATCATCATTTTTTATAGGTTTATTACAAGGGATGAACTTGAAACGGCATTGGAGGAGCATGGTATGGGCGATGCAGCCACAATAAAGGAAATAATATCAGAGGTTGACGCAGACAATGTAAGTGTTCAAACTCTTTCAGTGTAGTTCGGTTGGCTTGTGTACTGTAATTTCTGAAATCGATCCTGTTATAACTGCAGGATGGCAGGATCAACTACGAAGAATTCTGCGCAATGATGAGAAGTGGATTTCAGCAACCAGCTAAGATTATTTAGTGCCCTCTCTGATGGTAAATACAAGTTTTTTCTTAGTTATCTCGCACTGAACTAGAACAAAGACATGCTATTTCTTCTTCCATTTGAGATCGGAAATGGTACAGAAATGAGATTCTGTTTTTGTATCAAATGAATGAATTGTACTTAGCCGTTAGGTGTAAATTAGTATGGGTTCTTTTTTCATTTTATGCTGCTCTGAGATATGAGCTTCTGAATAAAGAAAGCTCTGAAATATGAGCCTGCTTCTTGCTTTTCCTATTTTTTTGTCAATGGATTTTGTCTTCAGTGACTTATTTACTGTTGTTCGTCTAATGTTTCTTGTACAATGAAGAGTTGATCTTACTTTTAACTTATGAAAGCTCTTCCATTTGATATATATATATATATATATATATAAGCACATGAAATTTAATGATGTTTGAACCTCAAATAGCCTATAAAAGCTTCTAATTACACTTTGAATGATTAATTTAACACTATTTGAACTCCTATTAAAGTGTTTTTAGTTTATAGATTTTGTCTTGTCCAATCACATTATCTCAACTATATATTCATTAAAAATGAAGATCATATATTCTTATAAACAATTCTTAAAATTTTTAATCCAAATATTGGGGCTTTGTATGCTGAAAATTGTATTAGAAGTTAGTGTCATACTCATTCTTCTTCAAGAGGTGCCAGTTTTTTTTTTTTTTTTTTAGAAAAAATTAGGCTTAGCCTGTGCCTCTGAAATAATGATGCCGCCTTCTTTGCTTCTTCCTATTTTTTTGTCAATGGATTTTGTCTCTTTCAAGTAGACTTAATTTACTGTTGTTCGTCTAATGTTTCTTGTACAATGAAGAGTTGATCTTACTTTAACTTTAGTGAAAGGCTCTTCCATTTGAATATATATATAAGTATATATATATAAATATATATATATATATTATATATATATATATATATATTTATAAGTTCTTGCAGATTCTGATTTGTACATATTTTGCAGGAAAGGAAAAAAATTAATGGATCTGTTTCGTTGGAAGTAGTTGAAATTAGTTTTGATGAAGATCCTATTCACCAAGAATCATATGCCTATACTCTATCTATAGTCTATAAATAAATTTGAACTCAGAGTGCGATCATATTAGCATCAATGCATCGCGATACTCGATTTAGAAATTCTTGCCAGTTAAAATATATTTGGGAGCAGGTAGAAATCTAGGCAAGAGTGTAGTTGACATTCTGAAAAAAATTCATCGTGTTTGCCACCCTTAAAAAAATTACTAAAAAAAATATTTAAATTTCAAAATTAATGCTAAAAATAAATTTGAAATATGCTTAAAAAAGTAAACTTTTTTGAAATTATGATTTTTTAATGTGGAAGGTAAAATAAGAAATCCAGTTTAAACACTTTTAATTAATTAATTTATATTCATATAAAATTTTTATGTTTTTTTTTATGAGCAAATAGTATATAGGCATGGCATTACATTAAACTGCCTTTTTGTTTTTTTATGATGGTGCCCTTTTATTACTAATCTTGAATCTGAACTTTCCTGACGCTACAATTATGAACCCTTTAATCCGTCCATAGAAGTTCTCTCCAATATCTCTTGGGCATGAAATTTATCAAAATTTTTCTTAATATAAGACCAAATGGAAAGTAGATAAGCCACGTGGTAACCATATATTTTTGATAAATTTATTCATGTTTTATTTTAAATTCTCTAAGACTGAGTGGAATATGCTTAAAGTTATAAGGTAAGATTTAAAATTTTTAAAGTTTTTTAGGTTATAAAAATTTAGTTTTTTAGCATTCTTTTTTTTTTAAAATAAAAAAAAATTATAGTAAAAAAAATTGTAGCCTATAATTTAAGAATTAAAGCAAAGTAAGAATGTTGTTGCAAAGAGACCATTTGGCTTCTTTTGAATCACAAGATGGAATTCTTGCCTCATGAATTTTTTTGTAAACTAAATTATTTAGCACAGCCATATGTGCTTAGGAATTTGATTAAAAATTTAATAAAACATAGGCCTGACCTCAGGCTGCAATAGTTCCATTATATTAGTTATAGATATAAGAATCTTTCTCTTCTCTACCGTTGATGAATTGTGTATTTACAATATTGCTCAAGGATACATTAAATTGATTTCTCAATATTAATAAAAAATTGGGCATCTTAAAGCTGGGTGACAGTTTAACATCCAATAACGAGATTAGATGTTATAGATAGGTGAAAATAGGTCTGATGATAAAAGGGGTGTTAATATTTGCACGACTACCGAAAATTCAACACGGAGGAAAATTGGGTTGACCCGAACGTCATTTTCAAAAAACAGGCGGGTTCGGGTTCCGGATTCGACCTGTTTGAAAAAATTGGGCCGGTTGGGGTTGACCCGGCCGGAGTTGCCGGGTCAACCGTGAACCCTTTTATTTGAACTGCCCCCGCGAAGCTGCCATGCTGCCCGCCGCAGCGTTGCCCCGTCTGCCCAAAGACCGGGGCCCACGCGGCTGCCGCACACCGCCGTGAAGCTACCGCGCCTGCCAGCGCCCGCAGTCCTAGCCAGCGGTTTGCGGCACTTGCGCTCCCCTAGCACCCACTTTCGCCGCTGCGCAAAACCCTGGGCGCTCGCTAGCCCGCAACCGCCACTTCGCGATGCGCATTCGGTCGCCGCCGCCG